GCTCCTATGATATATAACTTCTGTACTTTGTCTTTTGTTTGTTTGTTCATTCATCTATCTATCTATCTATCTCATTCCTTTCATATCTATCTATCTATCGATCGATCTCTCCTCTATCTTCTATCTATCTATCTTTTATAGAAGAAAATGTTAGCATAGAACTTACGCTTACATCCAGCCATTTCAACTGTCACCAGAGACTAACTACCAATCTAGTACTGTACTTAAATTCATAAAGTCTACGAGCCTTTAACAGTCTATTTATAGCATAGGAGATAGTGTCAGTGGCGGGGAAATTTATTAAAATGAGATGCCAGGCTGGTCAATAACACTGCAGATTCTTTTCTTTGTATTTTCTCAGTAATCTCTAAATACATTGTAATAAATATATATTGTCAGTGCTACAAATTTCCTAAGTATTATATTAAACCTCCCATTCTAACTTATCGATTATTTATTTATTTTAAATTAATTAATTATAGATTCACTTATTTTATTATTTTATATTTTTTTAAATTTCGGCAAATGCTATATTTTGATCAAATTCAGACTATATTTCATCGTATATTGCTAAAAACTGATAAATATTATTAACACTTTTTTTATTCTAATATAAATGTAATGTCTTATTTATTTTTTGTTTATTTTGTTTTATTTATTTTTTATTTTGGTTTTGTTTTAATTTAACTTAAATTATTTAATTACTTTATTGGTGATCCTGACAATGAGAAGCGTTACTTTTTCTTCCGCCATTTTTATTTTAATGATTTTTTCAAACGGTCCTTCCCCGGACATTTTAGGTCCTTACCTTGAACTTTTCGTCAAGCTAAAGGCACTACTTGGTCTCCCTTTTTCTCTTTTTTACTTTGTGCCCCGACGCTGTTGTTATGAAGGTCCGCGACCCATGAGGATGACTGATTTACGTTAGAAGTCAGAAACGTGTGGGAAAAAGACGGCGAGAAATGGCGGCGGGAGTTCGTCTGCATTCACCATTGAATGGATGACTGATGGCGACATCTGTTGGTGATATTGGTGTAATATCTTAGCTTAGCTGTAGTGTCAATAATGGTCGTGGTCATACCAGTTTTTTGTTTTTTTACTGTGCCAATGGTGGCTGTAATATTATTATCGGTTGCGGTTCGTGCGTGTTTAGTGTTTTTTAAAAGTGGAGGATGGAAGTGGTGGTCACAAGGTAGCTGCTGATATTATCAATATTGTTGTTTAGCGGTATTCCATACCACTGTTCCCCTGCCCTTTTTCTTTCTTCTTCCTTTCTTTTTACTGGTGGGATGTAGTATATTGATGACGCCGTGTAATAAAATTTTCATTTACACAACATCAAATGTAATATATCAAAATACAAATTTTGTAATCGGAGAACCTGCCGCTTTAATCTCGTTCAATCTCGCCCATCTCAAATTTCTTTATATGGACCCCTCTTTGTTGTTCTCCTGTATTCAGGTAAGCTTTCATGGACTCTAAACAGGATTTCAAAGGTTGTTCGGTTGAGGAGATACCGCAGACGTCTATTTGGTATTTCCTACACCGACCGCCTCACGAATAAAGACATTTCGCAGAAGGGTGAGTCGTCAGATAAATGGCGATAGAAACGTGTCGACGGGCCATAAAGAAGAGGAAGTGAAGTGATATGGCCTCGTAATAGGATCACGGAGCTTCCAAGATCATCCTACAAGGAACTATACAAAGATGAAGGAGACAATGAAAGGTGATATGAACCATGAAAATTTTGTTGGATCAGCTCTGCCTCATTGGCCAGATCTATGGAGGATTTCTTGAGTACCAGTCCTGTGCAAGACGATAAACGATCTGCAGCAAGGCCTCTGATCGGAAGATTAGAGGTTTTCAGGAGCGTGAGTCACTCTGTTATTTTCTTGTTGTTCCTATGTCAGTCCTATCCTTAGGGGTGGTAGAATTCTCGTTAGGGTCCGACTATGGGTAAATATGACCCCTCAACAAAAACAAAACGCTGTGTGAAAGTGTAGAAAAATATTTTGTAGTAAAATACCAGCAATATATATTTTATATAAAAGAGTGACTAAATAAATACCTATTGATAATAATAATATTTATCTGTAGTTAGCCATAAACTGTGTTCAAATATTTAGATTTCGGCATTAAATGACCCATGTAGGTAAGTAATATGCACAAATGTAACTTCAACCAAACAACAAACACGAAAAAAAGTCTTTTATGACATTAATGCATAACATCCCACGTTTTCTTAAAGAAATCAAACTGTCATTCCATAATACAACTTCAACAAAACTACAACATAAAACATAGATATCACCGTCTCTAGTAATTATATCCACACAAACATGTATATGCACAAAATCTGAGTATCATCTACTATGTATTCTATTGTGAAAGCAGAACAATACAACTTTTTTTTTCATCTGCTCTTTAAAATGAAGTGTCAATTACGTCTGCTGTCTTCGATTCCTCTTCGTTCTGTTCGCTTCTAAATAATGTTTTCTTTTTCTTATTCTTTCACACTCAGCAACCCTTTGTGTCTTCCTAACTCTTAATACTTTGCTTTTTCTGGTTTCTGAAAGCATCTTTTCACTAGCACTCTTTACAATTGTAGATATTCAGGTTTAATTTCTGTCGTCCATTACCCGACTTCCCACATTTGTTTCTTGAAAAGTGAAAGCATAAAAATATTTTATAGTAAAATTAGAAACAGTATCTATTTAAAATTACTAAATAATAAATTTTATAGCAAATGACAAACGATATATTTTAGTTATAATTGAAAGCATGCAATTGCATTCAAAATATCTTTTTTTAAATTGTGTCTAGATTATTTGATTTCAACATTAAATAAGGTTTTACAGAGTTGATATGCTGCTAAACAAAATCAACTAATCCAATCAAAATATTTAGATTTTGGTATTAAATAACCCATAAAGTTATTGATATGCTAACAGACACCAACTAGCATGAAAGAACCTTTCGACATTAATCCAAATATTATACAATTCTTCAAGAAATCGAAATGTATTCCAAAATATAACTTCAACAAAACTACAACATAATGCACACACATCACTGCCTCTAGTAATTAGTGTCCTCACAAACATGTATATGCAAAAAAGCTGAGTATTACTTACTATGTATCCTATTGTAGAAAGCAGAATAACATATACCATATTTTTATTACTTCAAGGTTCCAAAGCAAAAATTAAATTTCGGCATTAAATGACCCATAAAGGAGCTATATGCTATTAAACACAAAATCAATCTTGTTATAAGTTACTATGAAGTGTCCCTACGGCCCTGATGAGTAATGACATGAAGAGAAAAGCACTATAATCACGTAAGGCCACAGACTCTTAGGAATAGAGAAGGGGAGCCTCAGCGCGTTAGGGAATGCTACTGTGGTTTTAATAGTACAGGTTTTTACGGAATGGAGCTAATAACACCATGCCCAACCTGTTGGGATTTCAGAATTTTCCTTTCCTAGATTGGCTACCAAATACGGCTAAAGAGCACAATTTACCTTGTATAGGTTTAGAAGATATGGATCCACACATTTCCAATATTATTCGCGCCTATGTGAATGCAATGATATCCGATTGAATTCGGAAATCGACTCTCCGATTTCTCATTCAGTTACCTCCCATTACACCAACCGCACATCCACATGGTTTTTAGTCTACTGTTTTTTTTTTTTTTTTGTATGTTTAGTGTTATATTTCTTTAAAGCTTTCCGAATTTGATGTATCCCCAAGGCTATTATCTCGGTCCCTCCATTAAAGTCTAGAAAAATCTGCGATTTAAATTTGGATTATTGATTGATTTAAAGATTTTACATATCTGTCTTTTCCTGAGTAATATTTGATTTGCGTTATTTACTGATGATTATTCTTTCGTTTAAATTTTCCCCCTCTTTCTGTAGGTATATGTTTAAATTACATTATCAACGTTTTTATATTTGTTACGAGTTTGTATAACTTATAGTATTAATATTAATTACCTTATTCAATTAGATTTCTAGGCCCTTTAGATTTAGGAAACAAAATTCATAAATTTTATACTAGATAGTAGATGATAAAATATTTGTGCATTAAAAAATTTCAGATTAATATCCTATTTATGCGTATCAATCAAACCAATCAAAAAAATAAACAAAATAGACTCGTGGGGCCCTTTAAAACTCAATTCTGTCTGAATCAGGGTTTTTCTAAAACTACTTTGATTCGTATTCGTCCCCAAAAATTTTTACCCTTAGATCAAATACAAAAATAACTCCCCAAATGTGTAAAATCATATGAAATCATAGATTTTATATTAATAGTAATGATTTTAAAATAAATAATTTATTAATTAATTAAAAGTTAATTACATAAAAAATAAAAAATGAACCATGTTTTAAAAATCAATTTATTTTTTACTATTTAAATAGTAATTCAAAAAATTGGGGAATCCAAAAAAAAATTAAAATAAAAAAAACACTATAATATATTATAAGATACATATTTTAAACCAGTTAGAGGTAAAGTTTTCCAAATTTTATGAAGGGAATGTTTATTTCTTTAATTCCACTTGATATAATTAAATATATTTAATAATTAATTTAAAAAGTTCATTGAAAATATATATAAAATTATCACTTACTTATGCGATTCGATAAGAAAATGAATTTAAAAGGCAGTTACACTATTTTATTACATGGAAATATTTAATTATATGAATTCTCCACAAATTTTAACAAATCGAACCGTCAATGGGAAAAAATGGAAACCAAAATTAATAACCGTTCATTCCATTATTAAATTAAACCCCCCAGGGTTGACACTCCCTTTATCGTATTCATTAGAAAGAAATTTCCTTCGAAAAAATTCAACCAACTTTTTTAACAATCCTAAGGGTT